TGGGAAATGGGAGGGGGGGGGGGCAAACGAAGTTTTACCCTTATAAATAGGGGGGTCAAAAAAGTTTTAACACAGAGAAAGGGGGGGTCATAAAAGTTTTTGAACTTAAATACCATGTCTAGAGTTCTGATTTCTATAATCACAAATAGCAAAAAAGAAGACTCTGAAAATGCTATTTCCAACGATCTAGAGACTCAAAATTTTCAAAATTTCCCTGCTCGGCGCCAACCATGGTAGCGCCTCGCGATCGTGGGAGTCGGGCCCACTACGTTTAACAAGCTTTCTACCCCCTGAGTGACCCAGTTGTGGTATTTACATAAACATACCATGCAAGTACACTTAACTGATCAGATTCGGTCTATCAACGCACAATGTAACGCTGTATATCCAAAAATCTGTTTCAGAAAATGCTCACATTTCAGTCCTGGGAAAAAAATACAAAAATTTCCCCAGACCCCCCCCCCCCTACTAATACATACAATACCACACCAAACTTTTTGTCACCAACAACCATCTGTCATCTCTCCACACTCAGTATAGTATGGCAGACCTCTCAACTTTGCAGAGAAGTTAAGAGTGAGATTGAGGATGTGGATGACACCTTTGTAAAAGTCCGGGGGTCTGAAATGGCATTTTGTACATTATGAGAATTGGTGTTTTTTAATGAAATACATTGCTTCATAAGTCATAACGTCCTTTAAGACAAGGCACTTTAGTTACAGTACAATAACTGTATTTCTGCGACATACAGTATTAATGAGCTTTAATTTGCCTTTGATAATTTGCATATAGAATTCTGCTCCGACTGATTCTGCCTTTTGTCCGCCGTATTTACATATGCGTACTATTTTGTATCCAAATTGCGGGCAAAATGTCGGGCCGTATATGCAGGAAAATGAATAACACGCGATTATATATTCGATTTGCGATCCGAATAATGATTAATAATGTGCATTTAAGAATACAATATTATATTATTAAAAAAATACTATGAAACTGCTATATGCGTGAGATTTACTAAACGTGGCGTGAGAGCGTGAGAGTGAAGCGAATTGCGTGAGACTCACGCCGAATGCGTGCGAGTTGAGAGGTCTGTAAAAGTACAAATATCTTTTATAGTACCAACTAAGACATGTCTATATATTTTGTAAAAAGGCTTAAGTAAGATGGATAATTGAAAGTTTGAAACCCTCTGGTCGATCAAGGTTAAACATAAATGATAAAATGAACTACTAACTTTCCTTTAAAAGTATGCTTGAGTATAGTAGATCATATTCTGCCTTCGTAATTGGAAAGCAAACTAGAAACTGTGTTGTCATACCACTGTGGCGATAAAATATTATTCCCGCATGGACAACTTTGAACGAACAAAACTGACGATATTTTAGGGCAATCTGGATAATTTTCGTTTTAAGAGCATTAACATAACATCTTTTACCCACGGTGGAGCGATCAGCTTGGTAAAACTTCGCAAAGTATCTCAAATTCGGGAAAATTTACCTTGGTTCAAGTTGTTCGCCATGCATTTCTATAGTAATTTGTATCACTCCGTGGTCCCCGGAAGTGATTTTCGCATATATAATTTGGCTTCACTTTTCACACCTAGAGAAGCTATATCCAGTCTACTATTAGATCAGTGGGTGTAACATGTAGTGATTTTACTCAGACTGTACATTTATTAAATAATAAAAAGATATTTGTTAAGAAAAGCACCAATTTTGAGGCAATCACAGGTATATGTGCTATCAAAGCATATTGAAACCATATTAAAACATATTTTATAAGTACAATTCTGCACTATAAAATTTTAATGATTGACAAATATGTGAAAAAATGTGACCGTCATGAAACATTGTACAATGTAATAATCTATATATGCTATATCTGACCCTCCGATAGTTTTTTGTTATTAACTGCCATAATTTTTTGTCAATGCAGCGTTACTGGATAAATTAACCACAATTTTCCTTAAAGCAGGGCACTTACATAAGCCCCCCCCCCCGTCTATCGACCCCCTGGCATTCAAAAAAGTTTAATCAAACCCTGCATTATCCCTAATATAGAGTCCATTCTAATTTGAAAATTATGTCTCGAAAACGACGGTACAATTAACTTGATAAAATGATTATCCCGATTGTATTTTTTCAGACAATCTTGGAAAAAATATCTGTTGACTTTTCGAAATATACACCCAAATTTGAAAACATATGATGAAAATGTGAGCATTTTTCAATTAAATCAACTATTTACCCTTTCCCCACAAACAATGTTGGTTCAGGTAAAGTGGATTTGCAACACATGTCACCTAAATATCAACATTGTATAAGGGGGGAGGGGGGACAAAGTTTGAAAATTTAAGAAGTCTACTAATTTTTTTCCAGAATTGTAGCACATTTTGTCAAAAACAAAAAACATACGATTTTTGATAGGTATCTTGACTTGTATTGCATTCAAAAATAAAATGAAAATAACACTGTAGAAAGAATCCTATACAAGCCGAATTTGTTGCATTTTGACGACTTGATGCAATAGTCGTCATTTCCCTCAAATGCCCCGAACAACAAGCGCTCCTGTGGCAAAATATTCCCCGTAACCATGGTAATCTAGATATCATTTTGATCCCCGAAACACGCTCTGTTTTCCTGGTTACCTTAAATAACCCTCAAGGAAAACGCGCACAAGCACGCGCTCGTTGAATTTGAGGAATTTTTCAATTATCCAATTCGCTACCAAGCTCCCAAATTTGTCGCGCGGCAACAAAAAAATTAACGCATTTTAATGGGCAATTTCGCGTGCAAAAATGCCAGGCGTGTAGCTGGAAATATATAGTATCTTAAAGTATATCTAATTGCAAAGTTTGGTTGCGAAATGTGGCAAAGTGAGGAAAATACAGAGATGTGAATTTCGCAAATTTTTTATATATTTGCATTAAGAAGAAAATAACCATTTTTCAGCCGAAAGTGGCTGTTTTTACAGCGCCGTAAAACAAGTATATATATAAAATTTGCAAATTTCACAGGGCTATATTTTCTTCATTTTACAACTTTTCGTAACCAAAACGTTGCAGTTTTACTCACTCAAAGATGCTCTTTCTAGCTGTGATGTTGATTTCGTTCTTCTTGCCTTGATCCAAATTTCGTCTATAGCTGGAATCATGTATTGAGATTAGGATGCCTCTGTGTTATTTATTACGACTATCTGCTATATTTTAGGAGGATTAGGATGCCCCTGTAGATAGTGTTATATATTTTGAGATCAGTGAAGATCACCATCAATGAATGGTTAACCATGCGTCCGCGATAATTGATAAACATTAGACTTCACTGATGCGTCCCTTTCCGCGGGCGTAAATAGCTGGGCGGAATTAATACCCTCGCCCCGGACATACGGCAGAAGACCGTTGGCTCGGGAACTATGTGTGTTTCATTTCTATTTATAGCAAGTGCTGATCTACAGATAAGACTGAATGGCTCAGGTAACAGTTTCAATGGACGAGTGGAGATCTTTAATCCAAACTTCGGATGGGGTACAGTCTGTGATGATTCTTGGGATATTACCGACGGTAATGTTGTCTGTCTTCAGCTGGGTTTCGCTAGAGCGAATGTGGTAAGAAATCGAGCTTATTATGGTAAAGGAAGTGGTCCAATTTTGCTTGATGAGGTTGGATGTAATGGCAAGGAATCATACATTTGGGATTGTTCGCATGGTGGATGGAATAAAGAAGACTGTAGCCATTCGGAAGATGCAGGTGTGGAATGTTTGTGCAAGAAAGGTTACATTTTCGACGGATCGGGATGTGTTGGTATGTACCCCCCCCATATGTACTACCATTTAGAAAATATATGTACGACTATCACTGCACTCTAATGTCATAATTATTATTTATTTATTTCATCAAGATTTCTTTCCGGTGAATCAGACGATCCGGTTTCCCAAAATGTTTACTTCATGATATTTGGAATATTCTTTATGCAACAAATATTCACCCAACATATTCATGCAACAAATATTCACCCAAATACAACTGATTAACATATTTATTATTTTTTGCATCATTTCCAATATTGTAAATAAATCAGAATTCACATTCTCGTTTTTTCCCAACTGACAATGTATACAATATTGGACTGCCTGGGCTTAGCAAATTATGGGGATAGCTTCTCTGTTCACCCACTGTGGGAGTGTTAAAAAAGGAATGTTTATTATCTTGTTGTACTTTCGAAATGGTTCTATGACAACTTACATGCACTTAACCTCTCTAAATGTAAAATTGTTTTGTTCCGAGGCAACCAAGTGATTAAGAAAGTTCAGGATATTTATATCCGTGTTGATCAACAAGTAATTGAGAACGCGGAATCATTTAATTCGTTGGGATTATTTTCAAGTAGAATACGTGTTGGATTGACCAGGGGCTAACCATGTGCACTCCTTCTGTACTAAAGTCGCCCAACAGATTGGAACAGTACGTAAATCGTGTGAGGAATTTGTTAGCACTTTATGCAAGATAAACTCTGAACAACAGTCTTCTTAGTCTCAGTTTTATTCAGTTTTGCAGTCTTTGTTGGGTGACGAGAACAACGGCTTTTTAATGAATCAACTGCAAGTGCATGTTACTGAATAAAAAGGCAATGAACGTACTGCACATGCCTATGCGTTCTTCTGTTGCGGAAGCTGTAACTAAAACGGGTTGGAAGTTGTTAGAAAAAATAGGCTAAAAATGCATTCAAATACTTGCACGGTCATTTTGATATTGATCTGGACGTTAAGCTAAACAGAAACGTTTATAGACATGAAACTAGAATATAGGTTGACACTAACCAAGCGTAATTGGGGTCAGCAAAGTGTATTTATCAGATTTTTAAGGATTGTTATAATCTTGATTATTCTCTTATACAAATAGATTGCCTAATAAATTTTAAATATTTAATTACGAATATTTTTAACTAGATACGTTGATAATATCGGACTGGATTTTATATACTTTTATAGTGACTTTTCATAACGTCATGTCTGTTCCGATACTATTCGCAATACTAGTAATGATATGTAACCTATTATGTGGTATAATTATGCAATATATATGTAGATTAGGTATCAAGTGATGCAGGCAATGTATAAAATGACCACACCTAGCAGAAATTGAACCATTTAGCGCGAATTCCGTCAGGAGACACAAATCTAACCGAAAGACAAAAATTGGGCGACCCGAACTGTACGAATTTCGTTGAGTTCCTCATGGCAGAGAAAGAGCAATATCTTCTCCAAGCAGCGTCACCAGCTGTTCCGCAAGGCCTTGATCACGCCGAAGTCTACAAGATCCTCTAGCCGCGCCACAACGGCAACAAATCTCGGACGATTTGGAGGAATAACTGTGTTCGTTATAATGTAATCGTAATCTTCCTCACTTGTACGTGCATGAGCGCCTTGTACGAATTTTAGTTGTGCATGGCTCCCCTCTGTTAGGATGGTTAATCAAGGCGGGTTATAGTATTGCTTGCCAATTTGCGTTAGTCCAGATTTTAGTAGAGTGTCTGCTGTTAAAAATAAGTGTCTTGAGGTAGGATATGGCGCCTTGTGCCAAATCTTTTGCAATCTTTTCACCCATTGTTCAATAACAGTATAGGCTTAATAATTCATTCTAATGAGTAATGGCCCGCTCGTAGGCGGCAATACTAGTCCGAATGCTGTTATTTATCGTTGAAATGAATAACTGATTATTGATATCAGGCATGTGTATCGACGAATTCATTAATCTAATATGAGAACGTCCCTCCCGTGGTTTGACCATATGGGAAGTTTGAACTGGTGTAACCATTCGTTTATTGTGATGAAAGTGGTTTTATCTACAGCGCCCCGTGATAAATATGTCGTGGGAAGGCTTGAGCTGTCTGAAATGATTCAACCAGTGCCCCGCAGAATGCTTGATAATACGGGAAGCTTGAACTGGTGTGACTGATCGTTTATTCAGTTATATGAAAGTGGTTTTATCTACAGCGCCTCGTGATAAATATGTCGTGGGAAGGCTTGAGCTGTGTGAAATGATTAAACCAGTGCCTCGAGGAATGCTTGATAATACGGAAACTTGAACTGGTGTGAACGATCGTTTATTGAGTTTAATATATGCAAGTGGCAAATATGTTGTGGGAAGGCTTGAGCTGTGTGAAATGATTAAACCAGTGCTCCGTAGAATGTTTGATAATACGGGAAGCTTGAACTGGTGTGAATGATCGTTTATTCAGTTGTATGAAAGTGGATTTGTCTACAGCGCCCCGTGGCCAATATATCGTGGGAAGGCTTGAGCTGTGTGAAATGACTAGATTATTTGTTTGCGACATATGTAACTATAGTGCCCTGTAGAATAGCTGATCAATATACGGGAAGCTTGAACTAGTGTAATTGTTCGTCAGTTTTCGTTATGAAACTGGCCTTGTTTGCAGTGCTCCATGACCAATCTGTCGCGGGAAGGCTTGAAATGTTTGAAATGACTATCTCTGTTTGGTCTATGTTTAACCAGTGCGCCGTACTATACTAGGATAGCATGGTTGATCATGCGGGAAGCTGTAACTGGTGCGAATGCTCGTTTATTTAATGACTGCATGCAATGGCGTTATATAGCGCCCAGTGATAAACATGTCGCGGAACGTTTTGAGCGGTGTGGAATTAATATGACTGTTGTTATTTGGCATGCGTGCAATTAGTGTCCTTGAGTACTAGATTTGATAATACAAGAGTTTTGTATAGGTCTGTTCTATGTTGACATGCTGCCGTTTGAATTGAGGATCTTTGTTATTCAAATATTTAATCAACAATACTCCTGAATTTACTCATTCATGCATTAATGTGTTGCCCTATTTGAATGAATTTTCTAAGATTCTCTGGTCAAATTCGAACATAGTATACTGTACTGGGCTCCAACCCGATGCACCTACAAGTCTTCATATTTGACTAAGGTTGAGATAAATCAGATACTCTGTTTATAGTTCCACGATTGACAATGGGATGTGTATGAGATCTTTATACATATATGCTGTTGATCAGTATATGCATGTTCTTTTCCATTAAACTTATTGCGCTAAATCTGAGGAAATTGAACACTCAATGGACTTGCCCACCAATGCGTCCGGGTCACCTCTACTTTACACCGTATGACCCTGGTGTTGTGTTCGTTCTTAGCACTGCTTAGTTAGCAGTTAAAAAATACAAAGTGATGGATCTGGACTAGGCAGTTTGCAGAACGCTTCGCACGATACTCAACATGACCAGGCCAATTCTTTCGGTCTGGTCGAAATATTTCGCACGGACATCGAGTTCAATTTCTACAATATGTATGTGCATGTGCGTTATTTTGGTGTGATATTTTTCAATATGAATGATGTCCTTACGATACTCTGAGCGCGAGCATTGTTGTGGTAGTGATCGTTTTCACATGTATCATTTACATGTGCATGTCGACTTACGAGATCCATTCGATTATTAATGCTGTCTTTGTTTATTGTTTTGGTACTTTTCGACTCGTTTTGCCATCCAATCACCTCATGGAGAGTGTCAGTCCTGAATCCGAAGTTCCCTCATACATACTTCCCCCGGTTGATTTACTGGGTCAGGACGGTCGCCCCTCTACTGACGGTGTTTTGGTTGTTCTCCTCGTGTATGCTCACGTTAACGTTAACATTTACCATGGGAGTAGGCTTTTGAGTTTGATGTTCTACAGGTTGTGGAAGCAGCTCCCCATGGCCAAAGGGAGCTACATGGGTCAATTATGGGGGGAACGCTGATGCCGTTGGTGGGGGCATGGCCGTCCGCCCACATATTGCAGAATTCAATCGTGAGTATTTCGTGGTGATTAGTTGGGTGATCCACTTATTTTATTATTCCTAATTCCTCATTCTTTTCGTCCGGTGGAGCTACATAAATATTACGAACAATGGGAGATGATCGTAGGCGAGCAGCAGACTCCCCAGATCCGGATATTTCAAGTACATGTTTTTAGTGGTGCACGCATTGGAGCCTCAGGAGAGGTGAAAGTTCCTGCGCACGACTTTACGTGCTGGAGACGCTAATGTGTTTGGAATTCACTGAAATTCTAACACCATTTTGTACTTGTTGGCTGCCATCGGACGATATATAGCGAACGCTATATATAGCCATCGAATTATCAATATAATAATCCCAACGAATGCTGGAGGGTATGGAAATCTTTCTTTAATGAGATATTAAATATACATGCGCCGATTCGACATAAGCGAGTAAAGGGGAACTCGGTCCCATGGATTACTCCGGAAATTAAATGTATGATGAGAAACAGAGACTATCACAAAAAACATGCAATAAAACATTCCTCACAGCCACATTGGGAAAGTTATCAATTTCTGCGGAATAAAGTGAATGTTGAAATGCGAAATGTAAAATCAAAATATTTTCATGATAAAATCACTGATTGCTCTGTAATGAATGACCCTAAAAAGACTTGGAAATTAATTAATTCAGTATTGGGAAAGAATAACAAATCCAACAATGTGAATGAGCTGCTGGTTGACAGCACGTTAGTTTCGGATCCTAAATCTATTGCAGATGCATTTAATGACTATTTCATTAGTATTGGGTCGAGGCTAGCAGCAGAATATGTAGACGAGTCCTGTAGTAATGTTGATAATCAGCCCATAAACTATAATATTAATCAATCCTTAGATACTTTTTTAAAGTATCTCCAATATCCGTTGATAGTGTTGCCTCGACCCTAAGAGGCCTAAAAGCATGTAAAGCAACAGGTCTTGATAAAATTCCTGCTAAAATTCTAAAATTATCTGCAAACATAATTGCACCCTCGTTGACATTCATCTTCAATCTGTCGCTTGCAACAGGCGTATATATAGATGAATGGAAGCGTGCTCGTGTTACGCCAATATTTAAATCCGGGGATAAAAGACAATGTGAGAACTATCGGCCTATTTCAATTTTACCGGTGGTGAGTAAAGCCTTTGAGAAGGAAGTTTTCCGTCAAGTATATAGATACTTGTCTGAAAGCTCTCTTCTGTCAAAGGTTCAATCTGGATTTCGTCCAAAGCATTCAACTGTAACTGCCCTCATCCAAATGTGTGATGAGTGGCTAGAAAATATGGACAATGGAAAGTTAAATGGGGTTGTGTTCATAGATATCAAAAAGGCATTTGACTCTATAAACCATCGCATTTTGTTAAATAAAATGAATGAGCAATTTGGAATTTTTGGCGTAGAATTAAAATGGTTTGAGTCATATTTAACAAATAGAGAACAGCAATGTAATGTTAATGGAGAATTATCTAGTAATAAAATTATCACCTGTGGAGTGCCCCAGGGATCTATACTGGGACCATTGCTGTTCCTATTATATATTAATGATTTGCCCGAGTGTTTGAAATCAACTAATCCATGCATGTACGCGGATGATACTCAAATCTTTTCATCTTCCTACGATGCAAACGAACTTGTTGTAAATTTAAATTCAGATCTTGCCCATGTCTGTAACTGGCTTAAAGAAAATAGGCTGCAGATGCATCCATCAAAATGTAAAATGATGTTTATTGGCTCCCCATATAATCTTAATAATATAATGTGTGAGGAACCCGTTGTGGCTAATGCAAAACCCATATCACGAATTGCTACACAAATGTGCCTAGGAGTAAAACTAGATGAAACCCTTAATTGGGATAGGCACATTGAAATGATATGCAAGAAGGCGAGCGCTGCTATTGGCGCTATGAAACGTATAAAGCCCTTTGTTCCAATGCATACCTTAGAATCGATTTATAAAAGTCTTGTGCAGCCCTACTCTGATTATTGTTCCCCCCTTTGGGACACTTGTGGTAAGTTGCTAAGAGACAAGTTGCAAAGATTTCAGTCTCGTGCAGCAAGAGTCCTAACGGGTGCTAATTATGATACTCGCTCAGCTGATCTTCTCAACATGCTTTCTTGGGATACACTTGAAAATAGGCGGTCTGGTGCCAAGTCAGTATTAATGTATAAAATACTTAACGACCACACTGCGCCAGGTCTCCGGGGGTCATTCGTGAGAAGAGAAATAGATCAAACTAATTATCATCTTCGAAACACAACAACTGATCTAACAATTCCTAAACCGAAACGAGAATTTCTTAAAAAAAGTTTTAAATATAGCGGCGCTATGCTATGGAATCAACTCCCAAACGAAGCAAAATTGGCCGAGTCGCCTCATTCGTTTAAATCAATTGTTGGACAGCGACATGCTTCCTAATTATTTGTATATAGTAACGTGTACAGTATGTGTGTACTAATATTTAGTTTAAATTTTCCTTTTAACGATTTTTAAGATCTAAACACGCCACCCATGGAAACCAGCCTAGAGTTGATGGGGCTAGCGTGTTCTTCTTTCTGTTAATTTTAAATAAAGTATTACCTACCTACCTACCATATATATATATATATATATATATATATATATATATATATATATATATATATATATATATATATATATATATATATATATATATATATATATAATAAAATCAAGTTTACATATACATTATAATATTTATTATTTAAGAAAAAGAAAACATTTTCCGTGTTTCTATAGAGTTATAGAAACACGCGTGCTAGTTTGGGAGAACGAGAAATAATCAGTGGGAACACGAGCACGTAGTGCGAGTGTTTCGACGTTATTTCGAGTTCTCCCAAACTAGCACAAGTGTTTCTATAACTCTATAGAAACACAGGAAAAAATGTTTTCTATTTCCTTTATTAAATAACCTTGTGATAATAACACAAAAACAATATTTTTAACGCGATTAAAAGGTATATTCTCATTACACAATAACAAGAAAATGTTGCCTAGCAACAATACCGGCATCAATTTTCAGTTTTGCCGACTGCAAAATTATGGAAAAAAACACGCTGAAAAAGTTGATTTAAAGAAAATTTAAAGCGAAAAAACGTTTGGTAAGTGTTTTCCATTGCTTGTTTAACAAAATTTCAGGTTGACGAAGATTTTTAATCGATATTTCAGGCGAAAATGTTTGTTTTAGTGTGTTGTTTTGAGGTTCGTGGACAATTCCCGTGTTCTATAACGTTATAGAAACACGGGATTTTTCGCTTTTCAACCAATCAGCGCAGTTGTTATTAAAAGGTTATTTTATAAATATATATATATATATATATATATATATATATATATATATATATATATATATATATATATATATATATATATATATATATATATATATATATATATATATATATATTCT